CGCCCCCTCTCCATAATTGGCCAGTACAGAAGCTTTGACGCCCTCCTCTCCCCTCCCCCTCCACTCCCCTGCAAAACTCACCTGGCATCCACTGACCCAAAAGACAACCCCTGGTCGAAAGCACGGTTGAACGCCCGGCGGCCTATGAAAAGACCACATCCGGCGCGAGATCCTTGATCCCGGCCGCGCTCTTAGCGTAACGGAGGACTGTAAGCTTGGAGGGTGTCGATGTCGGTGTCGGTGTCGGTCTGAGGGTGGTTGAGACTTGAGGGGTGGTAGGAAGGAACTTGGTTTGGGGGGCATGTCCTGGCTGGCTGGGTGGAAGACTTGGTGGAAGGGGGGTTGCTTTGCACGGCTTATCTTCACCGTGCTGGCGGGTACAGAGGAGGACCTGACGCTGATGCTGAGCCGTTCCCTTCCCTGCCATGCTACCTTTGCCATGCGACTCCATGCGACAGCTGCTCCCCGAAAATCTTTCGAGGATCGGCAGTGATGGCAAGGGCTCAGCTCAGGGGGAGGGGTGTCAAGAGGAGGACCTGGACTGGGCCTGGCCTGGCCTGGAGGGTGGACACGGGAGGAGAGGTTTTTCCGATGCGACGACGAGGACGAGGACTAGGTGTGATGCAGACTCGATGCAGTCGTCGTGTGCCCAGGTACAGAAGGCATTCGCTCTCGTTGGCTTCACCTTCGAGTCGACGTAAATCTGGCTTGACCTCGTTTCGAGCCGCAACTACAACTTACAGTAGAAGCACCCAAGCGATTACAGTGCGGTTATCCTATCAATGTGGGGTCAAGTCATTCATCCAGCCTTTATCGACAACTTGCCGTATCAATGGGAGATAGATACCAGCACCAAGTATTTATTGGCCATATCATACATAGCCTTGATAACAAGCCAAAGAACAAATCAGTTGTTTGCTTCTTGCAGCCTCCTTTCCCCTCCTCTCCTTTCGTCTGGCCTCTTCTCGCCTCTTCTCGTCTCGTAGACGCAGCCATTCGCAGTGCCTCGATGCCCTGCATATTATTCCTCCTTTCAATGCAATGCAGACGCAAATGCAAATGCAGATGCAGCAAGAAGTACGGAGTAACTGCAGATGCCAATACCTCTGGGCTTGCGCGTTGTGAAGGCAAAGGAGGGGGATGCGATGCCCTGGCATGACATGACATGGCATGGCATCCACCCCTCCCGCTCACCTCGCTTTGAGTCGGGACTGGATGGTTGTACGACTGATGTGAAGACAGACTAGACTCTGTTGATGTATCCGCACCTCAACAGACTCTTTGGATCCTGGCCTGGCACTGTAGGTACCGTATCGTGCCATACAGCAAGCACATCCAGACGAACGGTTCGCGTAGTGAGATCCTCCACACCCTTCAAGTCGGCTCGGTCCAAGAGATCACAAATCTTGACACCCCATCAGATGATATCTCTAGCTCTACCTAGCCTCCAACGAATACCAGCAAACGAACCCTCGCCCCGTTCTTTACCAACTCGCCGATCTCTCCTATTGAAAAACAATTGAACAAACAAACAAACAAGGAATCATGAGATATTTAAACACACCACCACCAACATTCCACAACATCCCAACGTCCCTCTCCAACCACCAGGTCAGAGGGTGGCCGTGTTGTGTTTGTCCCCTTCCGATGAAGTGGCGTGGCTTCATCCACCCCTCCATCCACCCATCAGAGGAACAGATAGACAAGGCTGTGGACGCATCTTATCGTGGGTTACATGCCTGCCCTATATCTGAACACTGGCACTTAACATCAACCAACCAACCAGTCAGCTCCCCAACTCATAAGCAACAGAGCCAAAAAAGAAAACCCACATGCTGGTTCCATCCATACCATGCTTCACTCCCATCCCATCTGTCGCCCTTATCGCAAACAGCGCCTTACCCTCAATGAGGCTTTTTCCCTTACCAAACTTCACTGTATCGTACTATCCCATATGGAGCACATCCGGATCAGAACTAAAATATTAATCCGACCTAGCTCCTAGCTAACTAGCCACTCATATGCCGATCTAGCCAGTTCAACCTCCTGCAGCACAATCCAATCCAATCCAATCCAACAACTACTCTCCTCCCCCTCCCCTCCCGGCTCTCACTCATGCATAGCCGCGAAAGTATATTTCCTTCTCCCCATGATCCACCAAGTGGAAAGCTACGCTTCGCTACTGTACTGTACGCTACCCAATTTCGCGCTCCAACTCAAACCACTTTAGCTCTTCTCTACTGTAAATTTACTACCTTCAACCGACCGACCGACCGAACCGATAGACGTGAAGCACGCATGGCGGGCGGTTTGTATGGGTTCCCAAGGCTTAAAGCAGGGCAAGCAGACGAAACCCGCTTAGTGCTTATTCATGTCTCAGGTCCATCCCATCCCAACCCAACACATCCATCCTATCCCCTCCTATCCTATCGGTACAGAAGCCGTGCGGCTCTTCCTTCTCCTCTTCGCTTTCACTCGCTCGTCTTGTTTTTGGTTGAGTTTTCGATCATGTGATTCCCTGTGAACTCTCCTCTACCCCTCTTTTATGGTTGAGGAGCTGACCGAGTCCAAGCGCTTAGGATTGGATTGGATTGAATTGGAGATCCTGACCTAAGAGAGGGAGGAGAAAAAATGGCTTGGAAACTTAAAAAAGGTAAGCATGAGACATGTTTGTCACGACCGTTCTTTCTGCCGAGCCGATGCCGGTCGGGAACGACGAACCTGTCTGTTCTGTCTGTCCAAGCAAAGCCCGTTCGTTGGCCGTTTTGATTGATGAAATTCTCCGATCGGGACGGCATTTAGACGACACGACCGACGGACGGTTGGGAAACTCAAAAACATTCGAGCTAACATGTGGTTGACGTCGCACGTGGTTGACTCGATGGAAGCTTTGTTTTGTTGATGTCTTTGCCGAGCTTTGCGTGGAATGGATGACAGAAGCCGAGTGGTGATCTTGAGGTCAGGATGCCGTACTGTAAATTTCACTATTATACTGCTTTTGATTCACGGCTCTATAGCTCTCTTTCGTCATATTCACTTTACCAGTGGTTGGTCAACGGGTATTCGAAACCCTCACCGCGAGTATACTTTATTCCTACCTTTTTATTGTTCATACTGCCTCCTGGAGAGAAATAAACACAGGCTTATTGATCCCTTAATATAGCGAACTATCTGCATCTTAAAATACTTATAAGAAATCTATCTATATCTTGCAATTTCCTCGCTCCGTTCTATCCCAAGATCCAACCAAAATATTGCCACCTGGCACCAAATCCACTACACCTTACTACGTTCCTCCCAATATCTCAACTGCTATAACAACAAACTGTTCTCTTCTCTTCTCGTCTTTGAACTCCTGCTCATTTATCACTACTGCTTTCATCACCTTCATTTCTCCGAGTTGTCAGTTATCAACGCAGTCGTCCAATTTCAAGTTATATGCCATTGATCCTCACGAACATACCAAAAATCCCCTCTCCCCTTTCCGTTTATTATTCATCTCTCTGTAACATACCCTTTCCAAGGAGGAGGTTTCTTCTTCTTCTTTTTATTAAATCAAGAGATGAAAAAAAAAGTGACCAAGCCACGGTGGAATCAAACCACCTAAACTCTTCAATCCAAGCCATTCCATTCCATTCATTTTGAAAACGAAATCAGAACTTGGCGGTGCTGGGAATCGAACCCAGATTGAAACGGGTCAGCATGAGAGATCCCTCAAGGGAGAGATAACCACAACGTCACGTGCTACCATTACTGGAAGGGCTGTTAGTTGTGGGCGAGGGAGAGGGAGGGGAGGAGGAAACGTACCACCACACCACCTGTCACGGGTTATGTGGTGGATTTTGCTTATTTAGGTGTTTGTCAAGGGAATTTTTTTGGAGAATTGTCGGCTTGGTGCGTGTGAATAAACCTGGTTGGGTGGAGTGGAGAGGAGAGGAGAGGAGACGGGGGAGGTTCTGAATGGATGGGTTGAGGGATGTGGATTTACCAGTTAGCGATTTGGAGGTAAGTCTAGTTTAAGATATCTGTTTACATCATATACTTCTCATTTTCTGCGTCTATCTTGCATATTTTATAACTGAAAATGGAGAGGCTTTTCAGGTTGCAAAGGGTGGTGGACGAGAAAGAGATGTGAGATGGCGTTCCTCAACTTCATGCAAAAACCACAAGCACAGCTATGAGAACTGCCCGACAAAGCCTTGTTTATTGACTCTGAGACTTAGACTTCACACTTGCCGTTTATCTAGTTTCTCAGTTTGTCACGGGTCTCAGAAATATCTACTGCTGGGACGGCCTCGCTGGTGCATTTTGAAGATCATGAGCAGATAGATTACTTCAGCTTACTTGTACCTTCCACCCAGTCAAGTTTAAACGATATGGTGGCACTGTGAAAGCGCGTTGTCTCTGACTTTTTCACTCATAAGTTCCTAGGTATTAGAAATCCTTGAGCACTTTTGAAGCCATGGATGAGGAACTTGATCGACACATCTGATGAGTTGGTAAGTATGAGAGACTAGACTATGTAATTGCAATCTCCCGGTCTTCTTCTGCCTTAATGTGCTCTCAGTTTCTAGCAAAACTTCTCTGCTCTCAGAATTAGATGGTTTCTTGAGTTGATGTTCTTGTAAGTGGGGATGGATGAGCTTCGGCTCGCTAACGCATGGCTGCACTTTGGCAATACAATCAGTTGACGATATTTCAGGAATGAATAGACTGAAACTAGAAGTTGAAATTGGTACTTATTTATTAAGCTATACAATTTGAGATGTCGTTGTGGATTTACTTTCAAAAGTATATGTGGTGCACGGGTGAATAGGAACTGCTGTCTTTACTGGGTTGGCCTACCACCCCCACTTTCGTTGACTGAAACCCTAAGACGCACTTCGGCAAAACCTTGTAAAACCACCAAAGAAAAATTAACGTAAATGCCAGGCAACTTAGGTTGCAATTTGGCCACTTTAAAACCCAAAAAAAAAACGCAAAAAATATATTTGATTTAGTGCAACATCCGTGAATCGAACACGAACCTCCACCTTACTTAGCTCTGCTGAAGCCTGGAAGGGTGGAATCCTAACCATTGGACCAATGAAGCGTGTTCAGCTGGTGTGCTGATGTGTGAGATTGCGTTATTTCATTATATAGTAGTATTAAAAACCTTGGCCCAATTTTCAACCTTCTCGGTGACTAATTCGCTTGGCAGCATCTTTTTAAACGAAACAGACCTTAACAAAGAAGGCCTAAACAAATGAGGCTTAAACAAAGAAGGATTAAGAATCTTCAAAATCAACACAGGATTTGAATATGAGGACCATAGGAAGCCGTTGTTAACTACCTAATTTGGGCTTCTCTTCAGTTCTTTCCTAATTGTCTTTTTTACTTTTATTGTATTACTTGTCCTCTCCTTGAGAACAAAGGAGCAGATAATAAGCATACTGGGAATAAATTTGAACCAGAAACTTATCAGGATTGTTTCAATTGTCAATTAATTAATTATCCCAAACACTGATATATTGTGATAATGCAGACGTCAAGTCACTCACTTCTCACTTCCCTGCAAATACACCCATTCTGCGCTCTACACTCCACGGCCTGGTCTAAAATGTGAAGATGCGGCACTTGTTAAATGGAAGGAGAATTGTGATATTGCATTTGAAAATTGAGCGATCTGAAGAGAGAGAGTAGAAGAGAACGCGAGTGACGTGGAGACTGAGATGACGTCAGATTTTGGTGTTGGTCTTCTTGATGCAACCAGCAAAAGGGCCAACCTCGTCTCAACTTCCCCGGAACTCGCATCCAGCTCCAATTAATAGAGTTCGAATGAATTCAATTACTCGAAATGATAGAAACTTGAGAGGAGAGAATTAACTTCATATTGAATCTGCATGCAGCTGAATAAGGGGAAGAAGTAAGATCTTACGACTCAACCTGCAACAGGGGGTGTTGATGCCTGATTCTAGGCCGCCACCATCTCCATCAACATATGAAATCAGGGTCTTACCCATTAACGAAACCAAACAAAGAAATATCGATCCAAATTGTGCTATTAAGTTATACTTCACTCAAAACAAGTCCACTGGAGCTGGCAGGCAGAACTGGAATTATTGCCCGACCCCCACAACTCGCTACTGCTTGTTCCTTACTCCTGAATTTGAGCAATGAGTTCAACCGAAAACACCAAGAACTATATGAATTCCCGAGAAGTGGATATAAGAGACGATAGAGAAGCAGACCTATGGAAACATTCAAACCTACCACCATCTCACGAACCTCCATCTAAATCATCAAAGCTGGCAGGCTTCACTACTAAGCTGAAATCCCTCTTCATCTCCAAAGACAAACAGGCATCCGACCAAACCACCAGCCCAACATTCCACCAATTCAGCTTCCTTCCAAACGAACTCCAAGTTCAAATCTGGACCTACGCAGCCCAAGCACCATTAATATCCAAAACAAACTACAGCATCATAACCTCGCACCGCATTTCACCCACACCCACACCCACAGCCGACTCCTCACCCCTCACAAAACACACTCTCCAAACACCAACAACATTCTCCTCAAAGACGCTTTCTCCATTTTTCTCCCTCTCAGATCCAATACCATCGCCCAACCCCAACAACAAGATATTCTTCCCCATCGCACCGCTCCTGCATGCTTGTTCTCTCTCTCGACATATCTTCCAGCAGGAATGGGAGCCGAAATTGCCGGAGCATTTGAGGGGTGTTATCGGGAGGACGGGCAGGTGGGTTGTTCTGATGACGAGGGTGTTAGAGAGGCAGAGTCAGGGGATTTTGGTGCTGGAAGAGAGGGAGG